AGACCAGCTCATACCTCCTTTCTAACCCATCTAATGGCCCATAAACAAGCTGAATAGAAATAGCAACTGAAGCCACCCCATGGCTCAGTGCAGGTTAGCAATTGCACAGCACAACTCACTGGGATCTCTCAAAAAGAAGGAATGGAAGCATTCAAAAGCGACCCCGCTAGCCTATGCCATTGTGTGTCAACAGCTCAGTGGTACAAAATCCCACTGACAGAGCGAAAAGACTCAGCATAGACATCTGGTCTTCACCCACATCTCCAGAAGGAAGCATAAAACAACACAATCAGTATAGTGTCTGTGCAACAGCCAGGCCTCAGCCAAATTCATTAGATGCCAAGATGACCAGAGGACTCTGGATCTCATTTGAGTTCCCTTCTCTACAACCTTCTGAATAATCATTCTTTTATGAGGAAGACTGGAGTCTAGTTGAGAACTGGAGTGATTGTCAGGGTCAAAAGGTGATTTCTTAGTGAGATCCTAATAATCACTTCTTTAATAGAAGACTGGCTGTCAATGCCTTCCTGTGGGATAGCAAGTTTCATTGTCTAATAATGGCTTCAGCAGATCCTAGGTTATTGATTTAGAATCCAATTAATACTCTGAAATTCGGTAGGTTCTTGTCCCAAGATCAGGCCCAGTATTATCATAAGTACTGCTTTGAGAGCCCCCTGGGGCACGCCAGTGACAACACCACTCACACTCCGGGAAGACCTTCTGTGATTGTAAAATTGTTATTATTAAAATAGTTAATCCAATAAGTGTTGTACCAATAAAATAAAAACCAGCAGGATCTTATTAAAGGGAAAAAGGCAAAATACCACATTTATTGTGAATACAGAAAGAATCATAGTAAGCAGTTAGTTCTAGTTATAACATTCCATTCAATCTCATATTTATTCACACATTCATTCACACAAACACACACACACAGGTTCTGCAAGGTTGTTATCATAGTTACCAGCCTTAGAGTTGCTCATGCCAAGCCACTGGCCAGGTGGCCTGGACATGAGGAGGGAGCAGGGCCTTGTCAGATGCTCATCTGATGCTCCTGGAAGTTGGTTTGCAGAATCAGACCCCCCAAAGTTCTCACTTTTTAGAGTCTATTTTTATCAGAATTTCTTCCTATGCCAGTCTATGGGAATTGCTTCATCATGCTGTTGCTGAATCAATCGCAGATAGCACATTCCTGACGGCTCCAAGATGTTATCTTGTTCTTTGGTTCTCCCATTCTTGAGGCTGTTGGGTGGATTCCAGTCTGCCCTCCGGGGGGTCCTCTGGTTATTTCCACTTGACGCCTTCTTCAGCCGATGGACACTGGATTCTTAGGCTGGCACCTCCCTGATCATTCAGTTATTATCCACACCAAGCATCCATCCACATACATCCTCTATCTCTATTTTAATCACAATTGTTAATACAACAAAAGGGTGGGGAGTCTCTGGGTGCTGTTTCTGTTGTTAGAGTATTGCTTTGAGTCTCTCTCTCTGTGAATTGCTTTGAGAATAGACTCTGTCTTAGAATGTACTAACACAATTAGCAGCTTGCAAGTTTCACACATAGAGGGAGAGAAACAGTACCAAAAACCAAGAGACCTCTTAATTAGTAATACCCTGGAATTTAAACTCTGGGGAATCAAACTCATTTGTGATTTTAATACAGAACTTCTTTAATATGATCCAACATAAGTGGACCAACCCGGACAAGTAAAGTGATGTAATAGAACACTGTTGAGGCAGCCAGCACAATTACAGCCACGTACGCACTCTGTTCTTGGGGAGAGCTCTAGAAGTTGAGACAGATCCTAGTCTGATTCCGGCACGCCGATGAAGAAGTCCCAACGGCTGTACCTGAGACCAGATGTTTTATAGACCTTGATGGTCCTCATGCATATGTATGCATAGCTCTTCCCTCCTTTACCATACCTTAACTTCCTTGCTCTTAATATTAGAGACCCCTTATCCTATAGCTAGTACTGTAATTAAGCAAAGGTTATTAACATACATCAATTGAATTACTATGGTTACCTGTGGTTAGGCATCTACAATATTTCCTCAAAAAAATACTCTAAAACTGGTAGGTACAGACTGTCTTCTTGCAACGCTTGTGACTGTTCCAAAACAATGAACAGAATCTTATGCCATCCTGTGACTTAAGATCACCGTTAGTTTACTTACTTATGCTAGCTTATTGAGTAACTGCTGTTATGCAGGCTGAAAGGCCTTATACTTATGGTAACTGCTTAAGCTATTCTTATAGCTCTAGGCCTACAGATCTCGCATTTGTGCTATCAGTTCCTTACCCCTTTATCTTATGATTGCTGCTATAATTACTGTACAGCTACAGGAGCATAACTGAATTCCCAGGTTGCAGTCTGCACACCATTCTCAGGACTTTTGGCAGTGGCCAGGCCACACCTCACACAGAAAGCACTCTGTCTCCCCATCATATTTGACTCAACTACAGTACAGACCCATTTACGCGCGGACGTCGGGAGTCAAGCCATCATGACCACGTGTTAATGGACTGTGGGTTAAGAGGGCCGTACTAAAAAAAGTATCTATGATTCACTTAGAAAAAAACGCCGTTATTTTCTGCTCTTTCTGGCTTGCATTTTCTCTCTCTCTTATGCAGTCTGTCATTCGCCGCAGATGAATGATTTCGATATTTTCTACATTTTGCTCCTCCATAAATCTTACAACAGTTTTTACAGCGCTGAGGTCTTCTGAGGGCGAAATTTTGACCTTTTCAACGACATCCTCTTCCTCCTCCTCATCATCATTGTCATTTAGGGCCTGCGTTATTAGAATTCTCACCATCACTTTCGCGGTCTGACGTAGCCTCGCAGCCCGTTAATATTTCTTCTTCGGACAGAAATTCTGAAGTCGGGCAATCTTCATCCATCTCCAGCCACTCGGTAATGATTTCCAGTGACATATCCAAACTAAAATTTTTTATCATTTGAAAGAGAAGTTTACCTTTATCCTCTTTTGTCTGCGTGCGTGTTTGTAGGACATCTTCTTCCAAAAATCCTTCAAAGTCTGGCTCTGAATCAGTGCCTCTGCTGGAGTTTTCTGAGTCTGAGCCGTCTTTGACAGGAAAGGCATCACCGAGAGCCTTTATCCAGCAGTTTTCAATGGACTTTTGTTTTACTCCATCCCAAGCTTTCTTAACTAAATAAATAATTTCCTTCATGTTTAACTGTTTCAGGGATTCGGAAATGCCTGAAGACGTGCATGACACAATCTCCGAAACCAGTGATTCGGCTGGAGGATGGGATGGACAATTGTCAAGTAGCAAAAGTGCTTTGGCTTAGAGTTTCTTCAACCGCAGATGCTTATGAACAGCTGGAACAAAGCTATTGTAGAACCAGTTGTTGAAAAATGTGTCTTGTCATCCAAGAATTTTTGCTGTTAGCGTATATTATTGGCAGTTTGGCTCTATTGAGGTGATTAAAGCAGTGAGGGTTATGAAAGCGGCCAACGAGAAGAAGGGCAAGCTTATGGCTGCCCATCTTATTACTACAAAAAAGAAGAGTTACACGATCTTTTATCTTTTTAAATCCAGCTGTTTTCTGTGTCTCGTAATTAAAGGCTAAAGTCTTATCGGGTAGCAGTTTTGCAAATAAAGCTGTTTCATCACAATTATAAAGTTGATCTTCATGGTAGTCTTCATTTTGTAAAGTAGATTTTAACTCGGCGGGAAACGCGTTCACAGCTGATTCATTGGCTTTCTCCAGAAATCGATACCAACGCTATGCCCTGATGCTTTTTAAAACGACTAATAAACCCCTTGCTGGCTTGGAATGATTCATCCCCCATTCCATTTCCATATTTTGTCGCTTGGGCTTGAAGGATTGGCCCACTTAGCGGCATTCCTTTCAGCCTTTCCTGAGCAAACCCCATGTGCATGGCTGTGTCTGTTGTGGGATTTGCTGAATAATACACATGTTTTCACTTAAGCCCCGCTGCAGAATCGATATTTAGTACAAAGCCATTCCATTTAGATTCATTTTTTAAGCCATCCTCGGAGAGTTGCTTCGGGAGTCCCAACATCTTTTGAAACTTTGGCCTAGGTTTTTTTAGTCGATCTATTGCAGCTGGCTTTTCTTCTGCAGTGTGGGAACGCTGACACTTGCCCTCTGCCATTGTATTAGGCCTACAGTTAAAATTTTCTAATGTAGTATATAAATTACTATATAAAACTACTATATATTATATATCTCTCTAGCGTGACAATGACTAAGCATGTGTGATAAGTCTTTTCCAATATTGGTAAAGACATACAACACGTTTCCACTCCGCACTTCCTGTCGCTTTCTAGGTCAGTGAGTTAGTGAGCAAATTTGTAGTGCTACATAGCAAGTTCCTGTACTGCGTGTTAACGAGTCTCACGTGTTAAATAGGTAGCGCTGGGAGGCATGGCGCCAAGGCGCTTTAAGCGGATTCGCGCATAAACGGGTCTGTACTGTATTTCTATATGTGCAGAAAGCTCACTTCAAATCTGAATGATATAATCCACAAAACAACTTGAAAACTCTTCACAGCAAGAAATGCTCAACTCGGACACTGGATGAAACAGCTCAGATTAACCAGGTTGTTCACCAAGCAAGACCATTCTGCTGAATCAAACTTTGTAAGCATTATTGTGGAAGAAAACTTCCTGTGGGCAGATTATTTCATTACTGTCCATTATGAGGATGCTTGCACCTTCCTGTGAGGCATCTGGCACTAGCCACTATCAGAGACAGGGTGCTGGACTAGAAAGACCACTGGTCTGACCCAGCACAGCCATCCTTATGTTCCTAATTTCCCCTCACATGAGGATTTAATTCATTAATTAATAAAAAGGTGTTGAAATTACTTAGCATCAAATTAAGTATAGGTGTGGTACAATGCAATAGGTCTGAAGGGGATCTATGCCATCTTGTTGCTTTCATTGGAGTTCAAGATAATAAGTCATAAGTCTGAACCTGCTTGTTTTCTTCTTCATGACAGGTCAGGATTCTAGACACCAAAATGACTGAACGCTTTGACTGTCACTACTGCAAGGAGTCCCTGTTTGGCAAGAAGTACATCCTGAGAGAGGAGAGCCCCTATTGTGTGAAGTGTTACGAGAGCCTTTACTCCAACACTTGTGAGGAATGCAAAAAACCAATTGGCTGTGATTGTAAGGTACCTTGGACTTGTGTTTCATTGACATCACTTCTGTCAAAATAGATTGGATAGGTCCATTCCCTGCATAAAGCATGCACCCCTCCACAAGGGAACCCCACCACATTATAGAGGGATCTGGGTGGAAGATGTCTGCTCCATAACATCTTATTGACTAGGTAATTAAGAACCTGACCTTCCAAAGTGCTAAGCACCTCCTTGGAGATCCAGGGGAATTAAAAGAGCTCAACACCTGTCAGGAAGTGCTTCGGTCCAGATTTCCAAGAATATCCAGTAATGTTGGATGCCTAACTTGATTATGCCCAGGCCCACTTTTCCAAGGCGCTGAGTAATCACAGCTCCCATTGGCTGGCGTTGCGGATGCTCAGCACCTCTGAACATAAGGCTCTAGGGTTCCAGTGCTGGACACCCAAAAGAGTGAAATACCCAAAATTATAGGGTCACTTTTGAAAACTTAGGGTATAACCTCTCTGCCTCAGTTTCTCTATGGGTTATAAAAGGGCTATTAATAATTACCTGCTTTACACAGCTGGCGTTAGGATTGTTTGAATGGAAGTGAAGTGCTTCAGGTGAAAACTGGAGAGTATTTTTTACCATCTAGGGGAAACTTAGAACATCAGCCTTGTGTTTAATAGGTTAAAAATGTTACTGAGTTTCTCTCCAAGTGATAAATGTTAATATTTTAGCTGTTCATTTAACAATAAAAACACTACCCAGGTAACATGGGGAGGAAGGGGAGTTATGAAACAGACAACATGCATGTCTCATACACTCTTGTAGCAGAAAGTGTCCATAAAACTAACAACTGGCTACCCAGGAATTCCTCCCTGTAGTAGAAGCAACAAAGAGTCCTGTGGCACCTTATAGACTAACAAACATATTAGAGCATAAGCTTTCGTGGGTGAATACCCACTTCATCAGATGCATGTAGTGGAAATTTCCAGAGGCAGGTATAAATATGCAAGCAAGAATCAGGCTAGGGATAACGAGGTTAGTTCAATCAGGGAGGATGAGGCCCTCTTCTAGCAGTTGAGGTGTGAACATCAAGGGAGGAGAAACTGCTTTTGTAGCTGGCTAGCCATTCACAGTCTTTAATTCTGAGCTGATGCTGTCAAATTTGCAAATGAACTGAAGCTCAGCAGTTTCTCTTTGAAGTCTGGTCCTGAAGTTTTTTTGCTGCAGGATGGCTACCTTTAATTCTGCTATTGTGTGTCCAGGGAGATTGAAGTGTTTTCCTACAGATTTTTGTATATTGCCATTCCTAATATCTGATTTGTGTCCATTTATCCTTTTACGTAGGGACTGTCCAGTTTGGCCGATGTACATAGCAGAGGGGCACTGCTGGCACATGATGGCCTACATTACATTGGTGGACGTGCAGCTGAATGAACCGGTGATGGTGTGGCTGATCTGGTTAGGTCCTGTGATGGTGTCGCTGGTGTAGAAATGTGGGCAGAGTTCGCATTACTATGGTGCGGTGTGTAGTGGCTGGTGAGAATATGCTTCAGATTGGCGGGCTGTCTGTGGGCAAGGACTGGCCTGCCTCCCAAGGCTTATGAAAGTGAAGGATCGTTGTCCAGGCTGGATCGTAGATCACTGATGATGCGTTGGAGAGGTTTTAGCTGAGGACTGTATGTGATGGCCAGTGGAGTTCCGTTGGTTTCTTTCTTGGGCTTGTCTCGCAGCAGGAGGCTTCTGGGTACACGTCTGGCTCTGTTGATCAGTTTCCTTATTTCCTCATGTGGGTATTGTAGTTTTGAGAATGCTGGTGAAGATCTTGTAGATGTTGGTCTCTGTCTGAGGGGTTGGAGCAAATGCGGTTGTACCTCAGCGCTTGGCTGTAGACAATGGATCGTGTGGTGTGTCTGGGATGGAAGCTGGAGGCATGAAGGTAGGCATAGCGGTCAGTGGGTTTTCAGTATAAGGTGGTGTTAACGTGATCGTCACTTATTTGCACCATGGTATCTAGGAAGTGGACCTCCCGTGTAGATTGGTCCAGGCTGAGATTGATGGTGGGGTGGAAGCTGTTGAAATCATGGTGGAATTCGTCCAGGGTTTCCTTCCCATGGGTCCAGATGATAATGATGTCATCAATGTAGCGTAGGTAGAGAAGGGATGTGAGTGGACGAGAGCTGAGGAAGCGTTGTTCCAGGTCAGCCATAAAAATGTTGGCATATTGTGGGGCCATGCGGGTGCCCATAGCGGTGTCACTGGACTGGAGGTATATATTGTCACCAATTTGAAATAATTGTGCATGAGGATAAAGTCACAGAGCTCAGCAACCAGTTGTGCTGTGGCATCATTAGGGATACTGTTCCCGACAGCTTCTATTCCATCTGTGTATGGGATGTTTGAGTAGAGAGCCTCTACATCCATGGTGGCTAGGATGGTGTTTTCTGGAAGATCACCAATGCATTGTAGTTTGCTCAGGAAATCAGTGGTATCACGGAGATAGCTGGGGGTACTGGTGGAGTAGGATCTGAGTAGAGAGTTGACATATCCAGACAGTCCTTCAGTGAGAGTGCCAATGCCCAAGATGATGGGGCGTCCAGGATTTCCGGGTTTGTGGATCTTGGGTAGTAGATAGAATAACCCCGGTCGGGGCTCTAAGGGTATGTTGATTTGTTCCTAGGTTAGTGTAGGGATTGGCTAGAGTGCTTCTCTGTTCCAGCTCTCTGGTGACGGCCAAAATGACTCCTTCAGGACACAGGCAGCTCTTAAAGCAGCTTTAAGGCTGCTCTCCTCTAACTTACACTGGAGGCCAAATTCATCCCTGTCTGGCCCTGGAATCAGAGAGCTGCAAACATGGCATAAGGTCATCTTTCCCCATTCCCCTCCGATTCTGCACTGAGCATGGCTCAGCTGAACCCAAGAGTGGTGGCCTGTATTTTCAAAACCATATTGAATAGGGTACAATCCTGCAGTCTATGTATAGGACCCCAGAAATAATCTCAAAACCTTCCTAGTCCAGTTTAGAATGTAATAGTTAAGCCACTTACCTCAGACATTCATATATACATTTTCCATGTCCAAATTGCTCATGTAACAATCACAAACCACTGCCAATAAGCAGTTTGCACAACTATGATTTTCATGGTGGAATTACAATGGAGAGTTGACCTAGGGTGGTGGAAATGCAATGGGGGGGCCATGGAAGTGCACTGGGGGCGTCTAAGGACTAGGCACCTATTAAGGGTGTGGTCAGGAGATTGGACTCTCAAAAAATGTTACAAATGCCAGTTCTTCTCTTCCCAATTCATTCACCCACTGTGACGCTTTAGGGTTCAATGCAGACCAATAAGGGGTTATGTCACCACCTGTCCTGCCACTCTGTGTGCTTTTAATGCTATAGTGCTGTGGCGAACAGCCCTAACACCAACAGACAGCATGCAAGCATGCAGGTCACACCATGGCTTCCAGCTCCTTTTTGCAGAGTAACCCCATTCCCCCCCACCCACCCTGCCCTGCATTTCCCCAAAACTGTCTGCCCTGCTGTGTCCAGCCCTCTCCTGGAACACACAGAAGTTAAGTTCACTTCTCCTTTAATGAGACAGTGAACAGCAGCTCATTCATTTAACTGGGGTTTGACAAACACTATTTTATTCACAGCACTGAACTGGTTTATCATAAAAGTAACACAAGTTTATTAAACAAGAAGTCCTCTGTTTAAGTGATATCAAGTATCACTAAGCTAGAAGGGGTCACAAGCAAACAAAAGTAAAAATACACTTCTAAGACTAAAACTTAATTTCAGCAAGTTTCTCACCTGTGCTCAATTCCCAGAGACTTCAACCCCCCTTGGTTGAAGGATCCAGCGTTCTGTGATTTCAAGAGCTCTGACCCCTTTAATTCCTCAAGTGATGGATGCCAAAATGTCCTTTTCTCCCTGCTTATATCTTCGCAGAGTTCATTGGCCCTGCTTCAAGAGGCAGGAAGGCTTCCTGGGGATGCAATCTCCAACCTCCACTGAGATTGTTAAGTAGTTAGGGCTCACCTGGTGGCTTTGTTTACCTTGCATGTAAATGTGTTTTTCTTTGTCTTTGGTCACACCTTGCTTAATTTACATTGGAGACAGCTAGATAGCTGCCTTCCCTCCTGTCTGGGAGAAAACCTCTTTCTCCCTTTGGTCACAGACTCAGTGAACATCCATAATTCCTCCAAAAGTGTTAACACGCACATTTCACAATTATATTAATCACCAGTGTGTCATTAGTTCTCAAATGATATATTATATGACACCTTCTAGATCCAGATTATGACACCAGTGTGTGAGGTGTAGTGAGTACATTAGGCCTGACAAGAGTTGCTGACACAAAGTAGTGAATCCTCAGTGGGCCTCTGTGTCATACCCAGCCCAACTGAAAAGTCACTGGGAGGGCCCCTTTAGGAGATAGGAGAGAAGGTTTTGCTACCTATGGCAGGGAACAGGCAATAATCTATGAAATGGTAAATTCAGTGCCAACTTTTCTATAGCTCATAAACACACAGAATAGGGAAGGGAGAGAGTCTGATTGACCTGATAAACTGAAATCATATTTCTGCCCCTCTCTAGAATGCACTTTTGTTCTAATGTCTCTTTCTAATACCCTGAGAAGATATTTCCATGCGTTGACATTCAAGAATCCCAAACCTTGGACTGAATTCAACAAATCTCAGACAAAGTATTCAGGAATTATTCAGGCTGAACTTTTCAACTCAGTTTTATGGATTCAGGGAGTGTGGGTGTTATCCAATATACTTATCTTCTGTGTTTTTAAACTAGACGCTCTTTAATGGCTGATAAAGGTAGGTAGTAACATTTTAATATTTCAGATGACTGGGTTTTTTTCGAAGTGTAAGGAAAAGACAAAACTGTCTTTGTGGAGAATGTAACTGCAGTATTGCAAATGAAGGTGAGAGTTTCTCAGTGAAGATTTGTTAAAAGTTATTGGAAAGAATAACAAAACAGATAAATCATTTCTACTATTATAGTTTTCTTTTTACTGCAGGATAGATCTATC